GTTTAGAACTCCCTGTCCCAGCAAACAGTTAACGTTTGTAATCCATACTAAAATTTTGTATGTATTGATTTATTTTACTTTACAATCGGAGCTCCCTTTTTTTTTTTTTTTAAAATAAAGTTTAAACGCTGGAGCTCAATACTTGACGTAATTGATCAAAGCAATCGGCCAACGAGGTTAGAGACTCAGAAATTATTTAAAGATGTGGTGCTGATGAAGACTGACATCTAGTGGTGAACTGTGCAACTACATGGAAAACTTTAAAATCTGACCAAGCTCTTATTTTGAAGGGAGGATAGTTTCCTGTACTCTGTGCTTTCATTTCCCGTCACAAATCAAATCCGTCATGTACCCAGAATGCATCGCTTCAGTTTTTCAATAAACAGTTTTAAAATTACTTTATTGATGCTTCTTTAATGAAAAATCTACAACAAACAAAAGAAAAAGACAAAGAATCAGCTGAACTAGTAATCCTCAACAACTTTTTAATTTTTACGCAAGGCGCCAAATGTCTGTTTCAGGAAATCACATCCCCAGCAATCGGAGGTTGTAGATTTAAGTTGTAAAAGGGTTCATATACACTGTTAGATTGCAGTGTTGTGCATATATTGTACATGAATTGCCAGCTAGTAAGTGTCAAATTGAACTTGCTCTTTAAAATTAGCTTCCGCTAGTTTATCTATGGCATTAGCGCTTTTGAAGTTGCGGACCTAAATATTTTCACAAGTGCTTTAGAAATTGCGGAGCAAATTTTTGGATTAACGCTGCTCACCACTGACCCTGGACTCTATTTTCTGTCTGATCAGTGTTGGTTTTATTTGAAAGCAGAGCTGAAGAGGCTGCCAGCTCAGAGCTGCAGGTCAACATTAATATTAAAGAGATGGCTGGTCTTTGAATAAAGTGGGCTTCTGGGATGCTTAGCTGGTACAGTCAGCAGTCTACACACCAAATATTCATAAAAAACAAATATAAACTGTAAATAAGCTTAAATTAATGACATGCAGGACTATTCAGATCTTCATCTGTTCTGGCCCGTCAGACTTTACACCTACAGATCATTTGTTGTCTACATCCTGTCTTAGTCATGCTGGCATCATATCAACTCAGAGATAAAGACTCCAGCTGGAATCCCGAATATCATTGTACCAAACGATACTCATATCCTGACATGTTTTAACAGAATGTTTATTAATAAATTGATCATATGAGTTCATCTCACATGTGGGCGTGGCTTTTACCGGCAACAATAAGACTGAGGAGAAAAACAATAATAATGCAGRAGAAAAAAACCAACCAATCAAGGTGATGAAAAAGGCAAACAGGACAAATCTTCTCTGTTCCTGCCTGGGTTAAACGCTCCTCTGCCTTCCGAGCCACCCACACTCAAAATGTTTGCTGTCATGGTAATTCACGGCTGCCTGGAGGCGGCAGCTGTTGTGATTTCTGCCTTTTCGATGACGAGGAATCCTACAGAAGAGAGAGAGAGGGAGAGCAAGATGGCTGCAAGCTCTAAAGTCTGCAGCAGAAGTTGAACTTGACAGCGATTAATAACTTCTTTTATAAACTACATCAGAAGACAATCACATCATTGTGTCAAAYGTTTTGTTTCTACATTTTTTCAGCCCATATTTAACGCATGAACACAGTTTCTTTCTTRTTTTCAATTGAGTTTTAATGCACCGGCCCCTCTGGAATAATCTGAGAATAATCCCTGCTGGACTGAACAGTGCAGCCTCAGCACATCTCCCTTTGAGTTCCAAAGAAACAGAGAGGAATTAATTTCTTTCTGTGAGATGATTGCACAAACAGAAAATGGATTCATAAACGTAAATTCCTCCTGCAGTGGGAGTTTTAGAGGTTTTAAAGAAACTAACAGTAAAACTGAAAGAGATTCAGACGTTTCTCATCTCCTTTTAAACAGAACAAGTCACAAGAAACAAGATTCTTTGGTTTAAACTAAACGCTCATATCTTGTTTCAGTCTAGTTTCTATTTTTTTATTTATTTTACTGCCTTGCAGACATGTTTAAGGAAGTTTTAACAGTTTCTTTCTTAAATTAGAGTCATTTATTCTTCATTTGAACAGCTTCCTTTTCTGTCATTTTTAAAAATAGTTTTCCCCCAGTTTACAAAATTCACCTGTGGTCCAGACCTGTCATATATTTTACGTGCAGTCAGTCTGCTGTTATCCAGATGGATTTTCTTCACTAATAACTTTATATTTCATTAGTTTGAAGATATTTAGAGTTAAAAATAAATCACACTCCATAATTATGTTKACAATAGGAAAATCTGTCTAAATTGGTATTATAATTTTAATTAATGTAACTAATGGCATAAATTGGTTAAATTTAATTAAATTGGCTATCAATGCTTTTATATAACGCTACAGTATTAATATGAAGATCTCAAACTACAAACCAACTTAAATTATGCATTAATTGAAGTTTAATTTGTCTCGGTATATAACAAGCTTTATGGATTATTTTTTTATCAAAATTAACCTTGTTGAGATTTATTCAGCACATCAGCTATGCTATTTTCTTGGACGTTATAGACATATTTTGGAGACATTTTAAAATGCTTTTTTTCAGAACCGCATCTGATGCTTGACTTGCTCTATGCAGAGTAGTTGTTTTGAGCTTATGTTTGTGTGTTTTCTGTGTAAAACATAGGATCAAAGCTCTTTTTTTAACTCACCCTTCCTATTGTGTGCGTCTTCTAAACTGCAAAGGTAGCGCACTAAGTTGCGAAAGACCCTGGATATTTGTTCCCCGCGGTGCGCGACTGCTCTTCTGAATAAATGAAAATTGTTTAACACACTTGTTTACACTTAAATCCAAAATGTTTGACCAAAGAAAAATCGGAGCAGGACTAGAGAGATGAATATGATTTMGATTTTTATTTCTGTGACTATATGACCCACAGGAGACACGACATTAACAGCAGACATTTCATTCCTTCCTCGGCTTCAGCAGCTCCTTTAATTCCACAGCTGACGCTGCTAAAAATGACTTCAATCTCCAAACTCGTGAAGTTCTTCTTTTTACTTTGTCATTTATGAATGGACACTTCCTGGTACGTGGGGCAGGAAACTTAGCCTTATATGATGTTTTTAGGGTGGAAATTGTGCTAATCACCTCTCCTTTAGCACCTGATACGAACAAGTGGCTTTCATCAGTTTACGCAGCTCATTTACACACTTTTCCTGAAGATAGAAGAGTTTGTCGAATCTGACGTGGCATGTTTACGAACAAAAGTAAGAGAAATTTAGGATAAGAATAYGAACATGTTCTTGCATGAGGCCCATTGATTCCAGCAGGAAGTTGGTCCTGGTTTTCAAACAACACTCTCTGCACACAACGTTATTAGAGCAGGATATTAGCTGACTGTGATTCTTCTGATTGGTTATTGAGTTCTCAGACTTTCTAATCTGGTCTCGTCCCTCAGGTGTGATCATTGTGCCCAGCGCTGGCGTGGGCATCGTCCTGGGTGGCTACATCATCAAGAAGCTGAAGCTGGGAGCGCGTGAGTCAGCCAAGCTGGCCATGATCTGCAGCGGGGTGTCTCTGCTCTGCTTCTCCACGCTCTTCATCGTGGGCTGCGAGAGCATCAACCTCGGGGGGATCAACATCCCCTACACCACCGGGTGAGCAGACGGGATGAAGGGGGGCGGGGGAATCTTTAGGGAAACRGTGGGTCGTTACGCTTCGCTGAGTCTGAGGAAGTGCCACACCTCTGCTGGGCACGTGTTCAACTGCCAAGTCCAGTTCTGACCGGCTGCTCCTTTCTCACAACACAGCGCTTAGAAAACTCCCACAGTGGTCAGAAATACCTGGAGTCAGATTTTGGCAAAGCATCAAAGGATTTGAGTGAGGATGTAATATCTTTATTTTCTCCTCAGAGCATCACTGATGTTCTCTGTTTGCTGAAACGTTTAATTTCTCCTGTTTAATGACCTCATTCATGCTGAGAACAGATGAACTCCTCTGAACATGGATCTGTTTTAGTTTTTATTTTAGAACAACCTCTGCCTGAGGCTTTAAATACAAACATGTTTCCTGCTTCGGACGTTTTTAAACACTTTATTTTCGGTTGTTTGCTCCTCTTTCTAATTCCAGGAGTAAACAGGACTTTTGAAAACCCATTTTTGCTGACTGTGGCCTGGCTTTCTGTCTCTAAATCGTTTCCTGGTAGTTTTTATCAGCTCATCTGTAAATTCAGAGGGCGAAGCGCCTGCACAGATCAGCGCAGGATAAGGCATAATGAGCCCGTAAACGGAGGCGTTTTCTTTCGGACGAAGAGTCCCTGAGAGCAACTGCACGTCAGCGATGGAGAGTGTCCAAGGACAGCTTGGAGGAGAGGACGGCTGGCTTTCTGCCCTGTCAGTCCACGTGTTTCTCCTCCATCCGTCCGCCTGCCTGTCCTCTCTGCCCTTCTCTCTTCATCCACACTTCTTCTTTTCTCTTCCTCTATTCAATATTTATCCCATTAGTTTGTTCTTCCTTTGTTTTCTCATTTATCTGCCATGAGCTCGCTGATTTTATCTTTAATTTTGTAAACAAAATTGTGTATTCAAGCAGCGCCGTGACTTCAATGTTCCACCTCTGATGAATTTAGTCTGCAAAGAATCAATCTGTCTCTAATCTAAACATCTTCCTCAGTATAATCTGAGGAGCTGTCTGTACTCGTAGATTTAGGATTAAACCAGCAGAGCGTCTGATTTGAGGGACATGTTGAAATGTGTGACAACATGAACTTTGGTTGAGGCGATCACGTAAAGCTGATGTAAAAACTACTGAATCCAGTGTTGATTTGAGCTGCTAGTTTAATATTATTAATTGTTCAATTTTCTTTTTCTCTGCATCCTTTATTTAATAAATCTGGGCATCAGCTGTGCTTCAACTGCAGCTCTATCTAGATGAGGAGGATAGATGATTGTTTCAACAGGTTCCAGAGCCGTGTCACCTGTTCAGTGTTTGAACTTTGTTGCTGATTGTGTGTTTTCTTTTTGTTTCTGCAGACCTACCCTCACCATGACGCAGAGGAACCTGACCGGAGGCTGCAACGTGAACTGTGGGTGTAAAATCCACGAGTACGCTCCGGTCTGCGGTTCTGACGGCATCACGTACTTTAACCCCTGCCTGGCCGGCTGCAGCAGCGTGGCCAACGACAGCAACGGGGTAAGAAGAAGCAGCAGCGAAGATGCTGAAGCAGTTTTAGAAATCTACATACAGCGGCTGTGTTTCCATTGCAAATGTGCACAAAACTATGTTGATATTCTGTTAATGTCGAAAAACACCGTTTGGGAACTGTGGTGTTTCCATTAAGTAAGAAATGTTATTAAAGTCACGCGTGAATACGTTTGTTCTCATGATAAGTCATTACAAACATGGCAGCGATGGATGTAAACACATAGCATGTTGCTACCACGACACTAGCGCTCATCATCAGAGGAGACGTTGGCGTCTTTTATCGAGGCTTTCCAGCAACAAGCCCCTTATT